GCCCTTCAGGAGCCAGCCCCTCCAAGGGCCGCGGTGGTCCCCACCGCCTCCCCTCACCCACCTGCCCGCCCTTCAGTGCACACGCTAAGGATCCATCCTAATTTTAGACTCCACCTAATGAAGCTGCTTGTTGGAGAGTCTATTTTAAGCGTCCTGACTTCAGCAAAGCAGCTTTCCCGGCTCGTGGCTTCGGAGCCCGGGGCTGATGCTGCGTCGGGGACGTGGGCTCGGGGGACTGCAGGGCCCCAGGGGGGCAGTGCCAGGCTGTATCTGAGGGGCAGAGGGAGGTGGTGGTGTGTCCTCTCTCGGAAGCCTAGGGAGCTGGACAAGGACGGGAGCGACCTGGACTCCCGGCACTCCCGCCTCTTGCCCAGAGGGGCAGCCCTGGCTCTGGGGCTGGACAAGCCAGTTCTCGTAGGCTGATGCAGGCAAGCCACCCTGTCTTCATCCATAACCCACTTCACGGCAGAGAAATTAGGAAAGAGATAAAAGGTGAAACCTGGCCCCGCTTGGGGTCGCCCCTCGGCCCCAGGCTGCCAGGTGAGCCGGGGAGGCTGCTGGGTCCACGGCGGGCAGTCACAGCACATTCACCTGGGCTCCCAGCTGGCCAGCCTGCCACAGAGGTCGTTGGGCAGTCGTGACCAGACGACACCCCCTGCACTTCCCTGTCCCCCATGTCTCGTGGCAGTCTGCGATGTGGGCAGCAGGGAGGGCAGGGCAGAGCGGTTCACGCCCCAGCACCAGGATGCAGTCCGTCTTCCCCCAGCGGGCCTGGGTCTGGGCCTGACCAGCCTACGTGAAGTGGACGCAGGTCCTGTGTTCCGATGATCCCAGCCCCGATGGGGGCTGTCAGGTGGTCCTTGGATTGTTTCATTCCTTCCTCCTGTCTGTGCAAGGGGTGCAGTAACACCATTCACACAGGGTCGCTGGGGTTTAAAGCAGGCAATATGGGGATGAGGAAGGGGGAGGGTTGGTCTCTTATGGCCTCAGAATCAAACAAAATACAGCCCTAGAGTAGAATCCAACTCACGGTGCCCTTAGAGAACAGTGGAACTGCCCTATACATAGGGTTGGCAAAAAATCCGAAGTTACTGCCATCCAATTGGGTCTGACTCATAAAGACCCCTCCTTGGGTTTCTGAGGCTTTATCACTACGGAAGTAGGTTGCCCAGTCTTCCTCCCAAGAAGTGGCTGGTGGGTTTGAACTGCCAGCCTTGTGGTTAGCAGTCAAACGCCTTAGGCACTGGGCCACCAGAGCTCCCACAGGGTCTCCAAGGCTGTCACTCTTCACAGAAGCAAAGCCCAAACCACACCCACTGCGACGGAGTCAATTCTGACCCACAGCGCCCCTAGAGGACAGAGTGGAACTGCCCACAGGGTCTCCAAGGTGGTCAATCTTTAGTGAACAGACAGCCACATTTTTCTCCTGTAGAATGGCTGCTGGGTTTGAACTGCTGTCCTTTTGGGTAGAAGCCAGGTGTTTGGCCCACACTCAGCCAGAGCTCTTCTGATGGCCTTGGAGGGCCACATTCTGGACATGCCACACTTGACAGTGAAGGTGTGGAGTGTTATTTACAGTTTGCTTTTCCTGGGATTCTGAAAGGGAGAGAGGTCACAGAGACGGATAGAGCCCGTGGTAACAGTGTTATTTAATGTATTTTTAATGCTGAGCAACAAACAGTCCCCAGCTTCATGGCTTAAAAACATTTGTTCCTTCACAGCTTCTGTGGGTTGGGAGTCAAGGAGCATCTTAGCTGGGCTCTTTGGGGCTTGGAGTCTCACGTGAGGTTACAGTCAAGGTGTTGGCCGGGGCTGAGGTCATATGGAGGTACGGCTGGAGCTGGACACTCCTTTCCACGGTGGTTTCTTCGCGGCGGTTGGCCGGAAGCCTCAGTTGCTGGAAATGAAGGATTCTATGCAGGCGGCTTGAGCATCCTCCCAATGTGGCGGCGGGCTGTTCTCAACATGAATGATGTGAGAGATTGCAGGAAGGAAGCTGCTCTGCCTTTTACAGCCTCTCCTCAGAGATCACGTGTCATACTATCCGCCATGTTCTTTAGTAGGGAGTCACTGAGTCCGGTTTGTGCCCAAGGGAGGAAACAAACAAAAAACAAACTTCACTGCCATTGAGTCGATTCTGACTCATGGTGGCCCCTCCTGGGGTTTCCAAGACAGTGAATCTTTACAGAAGTAGATTGCCCAACTTTCCTTCCAAGGAGGGACTGATGGGTTTGAACCTCCAACCTTCTGGTTAGCAGTCAGATGCCTTAGGCACTGCACCACCAGAGCTCCTTGTTGAAGGGAGAAGTGGCAGATAGTTTGTGATCTTGTCTTTGTGTGTGTGGCTCTATTTCTGTGTGTTTTTAAGCCTTTTGTTGACATCATGAATAGGCAAGGGCACCATGTGACCTTGGGCCTCAGTTTCCTTGTCTGTGCTCACTGGCCTCCTGGCATTTTCTGAGGGGGTGGCCCTTCACGGGCCCACTTTGGGGCTATCTTGACTGCTGACCAACACGTTTGTGTGGCCTCTGAGGGCCACTTACGTGCACCCTGGGGTGGGGGCCCTGGGTCCTTCCTCACACCTCACCCTCTGGGCATGCCCTCGTAGTGACTTGCCTGGGCACTTCTCTGGGCCTCTGGGGACCTCTCAGCCTGACCACACGCCTCATAGCCTGGCCCTCAGAGGGGTTCTACCCTAGGGACTTTGTGTCCCTAGACACCTCCCCGCAAAAGAAACCCGTGGACACAGCCTGGATGCACCACTGAGGGGTGGGCACCAGGAGGCCCCCTGACCCACCCTGGGGGTCCCCTGTGGGCGGCGGGTGCAGCTTTGGTCTCTGTCCGGGGAAGTGGAACTGGCATGGTGCCTGGAGCGGGTGCCAAGCTGTTGCAGCCTCCTAGCCTGTGGGGGGGGGGGTGAGGAGGGAAGCAAGGTGGGGCGCTGGATGACAGCCCTGGTCCCTCTGGCCCCTTGTCCATCTGTGGGGCCAGATAGTAACCACAGTCCACTCTGGTCTGGGCTGCGCTCACTCGGCAGCCCCTCGGGAGGGGGCCCTGATCATTGCTCCCACTGCACGTGCGAGGACACTGAGGTCAGAGGCCGAGTGCTGTGCCCGGGGTCACAGAGTTGAGACCCAAACCCCAAGGGTCCGGCCAGAGGCTGGATGCTGACCCTTGACTTTTCCTCTCCCCATGGCCTCAGGGTCCCTCCTGACCCTCTCTCTCTGACCTCCCGCTGTCCACAGGGAGGGGTGGGCAGAAGCAGGGTGCCAGCCAGTGAGCATGGCAGCAGCTTGGGTAGCGGCTAGCCGGGCACAAGAGTTGGACCAGAAGGGACTCCCACCACTCCTTCTGGCCTGGGGACCCTGTTCTCTGCAGGGCTGTCTCCACCTCCGTCCTCCCCTGTCCCACCCCCCATACTCCCCTGTCCCACCCCCCATACTCCCCTCTGCCTCCTCTCCATCCTCTTCCCCACCCCTCCCCTTCCGTCCCCATTCCCTCCTCCCCTCTCCCGCCCCCACTCTTCTAGAGGGATCACAGAGGACACATGGGTCAGCCTGGGTGGGTGCCGTCTCAGACCTTCTGGTGGTGGTGGGCTGGGCCTAACAGTGCTGTCTGTTCACTGTTCTCCTGCAGGTAGCTGGGAGGCCCTGCGGGGTCCTCTGTCCTCGGCATGCAGGGGGCGGAGTGCCTTGGAGCTCACGCCGCCCTGGTTTCCCTGGCTTCCCCACAGAGCCTGTGCCGCCCCGCAGCCCCCAGCCCTCAGGGGCTCCCTCACATCCCGGCCCCTGGCCGCCTCTGCCTACATCAGGGGAGGTGGGTGGACAGCAGAGGTCTGGGGCCACCTGGGGCCGCATGGAAATGGCTCTAATTACACGTGTGTAGATTTCACAGAGGACCTCTGGCTCAACCCCACCTCGTGAGGGAACCTGGGGTCCCCTTCCTTGCTGCCCCCCCTTTTCCCAGATTAGGCCCTGCTCCCACATCCCATCCAGGTGGTTCTGGGCTGCTGAGGAGTTCACCTTGTGCTGTGGTGGCCACCTGCCCCCGTGTGGCCTTGATTTACTCTCGTCGGGTATCCCCGGTGGGGAGCAGGACTGACAGGTGATCCCCCAGAGGATAAGAACGTTAGTGGAAGCCCGTTCCCTGTAAGGCAGCCGAGCTATAGGTGACCTCCGCAGCGGGGGCGGCCTCCTCATGATACTTCACGGGCTGAGCACCCGTGACGTCGTTGCAGGCAGGGCACACGCCTGCTGGTGCTGCAGGTGGGGGGGCAGCTCTGAGTGATCTCAGCCAACTGGGAGGGCAGACCCCGGGCTGAGGGCCCAGCAGGTGCCACAGGCGCCTCAGCAAGACGCTGACTTTCTCCCATCCCTTCCCACTCCACTGTTGGCAGAGGCTGTTCTGTGGGGCTGAGACACCCCCCCGCCCTGGGGGGCTTTGAGGTTCTGGAGGATCCTGTCATAGCAGGCCAGAGTCCGGGACAAGCCGGAGCCCAGCTCCTGGCCCTGTGGCCCACGTGTACGCCTGACTCCGCTTTTCTGTAGAGTGGGTGCAGCCACTCAGGGAACATGGGTGCTGCCAGGGTCTTGCTCTTGGGCCCGGTGAGGCCCCTGTTTCACGGCATTTCTGTTCTGAGACGGCAGCTGTCTGTACTGTGCTTGAATCTCCGTCGCGTCCTCGGATGGCAGTGAGGTTGGCCTGTGGGTACTGGTCCTCTGGGGCCTGCTGGCCTGGAACTGCCCTGGAGTAGGCATGGGGTTGTGCCCAGCTGAGCCACGTGGCGTCCAGGGGCTCTGGGACCTGGAGCATGCTGGAAGGGCCACCTGTGGGGCGTGGGGCACCCCTTGGACCCGGCGTGCCGACCCAGACCTTCTGCAGCACTGCCCCATCCTGCCTCCCGCCTGTCGCTGACCCCCGCATGACTCCCTCCGGGCCCCCACGGCCCCGCTCTAGTGCTGGCTCCCTGGTGACCCGGTTCTTCTTTTCCTGTTTCAGGCATGAGCCATGAGCCCAAGTCCCCTTCACTAGGGATGCTTTCCACCGCGACCAGGACCACGGCCACCGTCAGTCCCCTCACCCCCTCACCGCTCAATGGCGCCCTGGTGCCCGGCGGCAGCCCCGCCACCAGCAGCACACTGTCCGCTCAGGCCGCGCCCTCCTCCAGCTTTGCCGCCGCGCTGCGCAAGCTCGCCAAGCAGGCAGAGGAGCCCAGAGGTAAGAGGAGCCCCACGTGGGCGCCCAGAGCAGCTGGCGGCCAGGGACGGCAGTCGCCAGAGCCGGCCCCCGGTGGCACTCTGGCGGCCCCCGGAGCCGCCCCTCCTGCACGCACACTCGCTCACTCGTGCCCACTCACGCCTGCCTTCTGCCGGGGCCTGGGCTGGGCTGTGCCGGCTGGACTTCCCAGCTCAGCCCTGGTGCCTGCTCTGCTTCTGCACTTCTCTGTCCCCTCCTGGGTCCTTCCTCAGCCCCCACAGCCGCCGTCCAGGGGCCTGGCAGAGGGGCGATGTACCTGTCGGTCCCCAGCTGTGAGTCAGGAGGGGCCTTGCTGGACTCTGACCCCTGACATGCTCCGGGGCTGCCCGAGAGGTCTCTCAGACATGGCCAGAGAGCACCTGGTCACTGGAAACTTGCTTGGCCTCCAGGCCAAGGAGGCAGAGATGGCAAAGCATGGGGATAAAAAGCATCCACAGAGTCTTCGGCCCTGGCTGCTGTGAGATGTCGGGCAAATGGCCACTCTGCTCTCTCTGGCCTTGGGTTGTCCTCCCTTCCCCCTTGGCTTGGGCTCAGGCCCTTCTCCGGACCCAGGATGCACATCCTGCTGCCAGGGGTCAGTCCTGATCAGAGGTGCTCATGGACAAATGGAGGACACTTTGGATGGAGCTGCTGGACGGCTCAGGACCCTGTGGGATCCGGGTGTAGGCCTCTTAGACCTACAGTCTTTGCTGGGAATGCCAGCCGTGGCCGGAACTGGGGTGCTGCCTCCAGGGCACAGGAAGCTGGTAGCCCAGGTGTCTGCTCTGTCCCAAAGGCCCAAGATGGGCTCTGTGGCCCTGAGTGCCGAGGTTGTCCTCCTCTCTGGGACGGTGTCTGTGTGTTTCTGGGGACTCCAGCCCAATGGGAAACGTTTGCTCAGGTGGGGTGGGCCGGGTGTCTTCTGGTCAGACTCACCAAGCCCCTCTGCTGCTGACTCTATTGACGGAGGTGGGAGGGGTGGCGCCCTCTTAACGGCCATCCCCAGCTGCCACCGCGTGCCCAGTGGGTAGGGTGCACTCCAGCTGAAGCCCCATTTCTCCGCTCCCCTTCCTCCCAGCCCCGAGCGGGGGCTGCCCTTGGCCAGGTGGGAGGCGCTGGCTGTGTGAGCTGCACGTGGCCCTTCCCGCCCTGGAGCCGAGGAGCCAGGGGGGAGACCCCCAGCAGGAGGTGGGGCTTGGGGGCGAGCTTGGGTCTCCTGCAAAGTGTGAGGAGGTGGGGCCGACAGCCCCCCTGGCGTGGGCCCCTCCAGCACTGGGGGGTGCTGACCCGATCAGGCCGTCGACCACGTTGCAATCTGGCCAGCAGCTGTGTCCACTCCAGGGTGGCACGTCACAGCCTGCAGAGCCCCACAGGTCTTGCCAGGCCTATGTGGACTGTGGCCTCAGTGCAGACCTGCCTCACTGTCCTTTGTCCTCGCTGTTGACCTCTCTGACCTGCAGAGACGTGCTGCAGAGCCCGTGTGCGGCCGTTGTCAGGCCCCACTGGCCAGGAACGGAGTGTGCTGTCCAGTGGGGTGGCAGCCGACCAGCAGGTGGCCGTGAGGCTCTGCTCGTTCCCTGGCTGCACCTCGGGCGTCCATGTGACTCTCCAGGGCGGGCCACCTGCCTTTGTGGCAGAGGGAGGGCATGGGGGCAGAGAACAAGGCGCATCTGCCCGCTGACCTGAGAGCGTCCCCATCATGCAGATGAGAAGGCCAAGTTCATGGGCCTGCCGTGGCTCTTGGGAGAAGCACAGCCTCTCTGGGTGGGCCAAGCCCAGCCCTGACCCTCACTGGCAGTTCTCCGTCCGCTCAGATACCCGTTTGCTCTTGGGGTTGTCAGCTCGGCCCCTGCATGCCCGTGTCCGTGGCTTGGAGCTTACAGCCCAGAGTGCAGCCCCAGTGCACGGGTGGGGAGACCGAGGCACCACAGGTCATATCACTAGGTCCAGGCCACACAGCCAGGGGCTGTGGCCTGGGAGCCCACAGGAGGCAAAGCAGGCAGCTATCCCTGCTGGTCAGCACCCCCACTCTCCCTCCCACAGAGAAGCTTCTGGAGCCTCAGCATCTGGTGGGCCCCAGCTCCCTGCCTGAACTTTGTACACAGGACCTTTGGTGGGCATGGCTAGGGGGCCTTAGAGTGTGCCATCAGTCACAGCAACCCCGAGTGACAGGGTAGGACAGCCCCACAGGGTTTCCTAGGCTGTCATCTTTATGGAAGCAAATCGCCACGTGTTTCCTCCCGTGGAGAGGCCGGGGAATTCAAAGTGCCACCCTTTCAGTTAGCGGCCAGGCGTTTAACTCTTGTGCCACTGGGCCTTGGCTGGAGTTTCTCAGTTTTCATTTTCTTACTGTCACTTACTGTTCAGATGTAAGTCACGGAACACAGAAGTCACTAAAGCGTACAGTTCCATGGTTTCTGATCCGTTCACAGCATTGTGTGACCCTTGCTCCCAATTCTGAAATGTTCTCACCGCCCCTCTCCAGATAGACACCCTGCTTTCCCCTTAGCCATGTCCCCAGCCCCAAGTGTCTGCCGGCCGCCTTCCCCTGGAGACTTGTCTGTTCTGAGCATCTCTTAGGCACGGGGTGCTGGCCACAGGGCTTCCATGCCTGCTGTGGCTCACCGGTTTGTTGAGGCTCACTGTCTTGCCGTGCATCAGGACTAAACTCCCTGTGACTTAGTCATAGGCGGGGCTTCGAGCAGCCACCTGTCCCTCCCGCTCCTTCCTCCTGGACCCCCTGAGCCCGCCATCCTTCACCTTGACTGGCTGTTTATGAGAGCACCTGCTGCGTACCGAGCTCTCAGCTTCTCACCACACTCGTGCTGTGTCTCCTGGGTGGGAAGCGGCAGAGAGGAGATTGAAACCTGAGTTGAACTCCGAGGTGCAGACCCACGGAGACACAGTGTCCCGCTGGACCGTGCCTCCCAGGCAGGAGGCTAGGCTGACCCCACGTGGGTCCCAGGGGGGACCCTTGCCTGGCCCCTGGGCTACCTGGGGTTTCCCCAACCTTGGTAACAGGCCAGGCCCCCTCTTGAGCCAAAATGTCACCTGCCCCTGGTGGTGTCATCTGTGCCTTAGGGGGTGGAGCCTCTCCCATGTTCTTCCCCGCCCCCCAGAGAGGAGAGATGTTACACACCTAGCACCTGCTATGCACAGACTCCTTAACATCTGGGGATGGGGTTCAAGTCCAGTCCCTGCACGGCGTGGGCGGGGTCATCTGTCGTCCCCCCCCCCCATGGATGTCATGTTAGCTGCCACATGTCCCATGCCATCTTCACGTGGTTCTTGGTCAGCACTCACTGCCTGGTGCCTTGCAGCATGTCGCCGTGGCACCTTTGAGCCCTCTCTGGTCTGCTCTGCTTCTGAAAAGACCCTTCCCGTTTTGACTCACCGTGTCACAAGTCACCTTGCACCCTCTACTCCACTGCTTGCCAATCCGTGGCTTCACAGCTCAGGGGCACTGCTGAAGGTGCAGTGTGGAGCCTCTGCCTGCAGGGGGCGCAGGTTGGCCTCACTCGGCTGTGCTGTTCTCCCTGTTGAAGGTGCAGTGTGCAGCCTCTGCCTGCAGGGGGCGCAGGCTGGCCTCTTGGCTGTGGTGGTCTCCCTGTTCAATTTAGTGACACTGGTTACCTTCTTTAAGGTGTGTGACCATTCTCACCCTCCTGTTTTGTTCCTCCCTTGTTAACATAAACTCACTGTCCCCTAAGTTTCCCACCTAATCTTTCAAATTGCTGCTGTCTATTTGATCCCATAAAGGTAGTTCTTAAAAGAGTGTAGTGCTTAAGGCAGACTTTTTATTACTAGTTCAGGTGAACTACTGTTTGGGTATAAGAAGATGGCAGGGGATGTTTGTGGTTGAAGGTTTAAAGATTATCACAGGGCAGTAGTTTTCAGGGGTTCATCCAACCTCCATGGCTCTGTAGAGTCCATGAGAATTTGAGATTCTGTTCTACATTTTCCCCCCTTCTGATCAGGATTCTTCTCTGGAATCTTGGATGAAAATGTTCAGGAATGGTAGCCGGGCACCATCCAGTCCTGGAACCAGGGCGGAGGAGGCAGCTGTTCATGGAGGCAATGAGCACACGTGCCAGTTCCGCCTCCTATTCCTCACTCTCCTTCCCCTGTTGCTCCAGGTGAACGGAGACCAAGAGTTGTACCTGGGTGCCGCCTGCAAGCTTGTAAGAGCCCAGGCGCTAGGCAACGCACTCGGAGGTAGAGGAGAAGCACCAAACACATGCTTGGGTCAACTAACTGGGCTGTCCCATGAAGCCAGGACCCTCAACTTCCAAACCAAGGGGCCTAACCCCTTGGCGTTTGTATTATATAAGCAGCCTCAGCAGCTTCTTGGTGTTTTGTTTTGTTTTGTTAAGTCGTTGTAAATATCTCCAACTCATAAATTTTGCCACTACAACTTTTTACAGGTATACAACTTATAACACTTAGAGTACTCAGCTGTGCAACCCCACCCTCAATGAGGATTTTCCATCACAATTAACAAGCCCCCCTTCCCCTCCCTCCCACCCCTGGTAACCACTAACACTCTGGTCTCCATACATTCACCTTGTCTTTATTCTTATATAGGTGAGGCCATACAATAGCTGTCCTTGTGTGATTGGCTTATTTCGCTCAGCTTCCTGTCTCCCACTGGCTGCGGAGTGTCCACCGTACGGATGGACCACATGCGCCTGTTGATGGGCATTTAGGCTGTTCCCTCCTCCTGGCTATTGTGACTGGTGCTGCAGTGAACACTGGTGGACAAGCGTCTCTGAGTCTCAGCTTTCAAGTGTTCGGGGTACGTAGCTAGGAGTGGAATTGCCAGGTCACATGAGAGTTCTATTTTTAGTTCTTTGAGGAACCTCCACACTGTTTTCCACAGCGGCTGGACCATTTTGCATTATCACCAGCAATGGATGAGGGCTCTGATTTTCCCCCAGCCCCACCAACGTTGGTTGTTTTCTGTCCTCCTTTTTCCTTAGTCTTCCTAGTACGAAGGAAATGACATCTCGTGTGGTTTTGATTTGCATCCCTTTGATGGCTAATGATGCTGAGCATCTTGCATTTGCTTGGTGGCCGTTTGAATGTCCTCTTTGGTGAAATGTCTATTCAAGTCCTGAGCCCATTTTTTATTGGGTTATTTGTCTTTTTATTTTTAAGCTGTCAAAGTTTTCTGTCTATTTGGTTATTACGAGTCAGATACATGGCTTCTGAAGATGTTCTCCCTGATGGTGGCGTGTCTTCACTTCTTTGGAGTCTTTTGCTGAACAGAAACATCTAACGTTATGAGCTCCTGTCTGTCTATTTTGTCTTTGCTGTTTGTGCTTGGTATTTTACTAGATGGCCCATTGTTGAAAGCCTGGCCTGACAGTGTTGTCCCTGCGGGCGGTCCTAAGAATTTTCGGGCTTTAGTTGGCACATCTGTTGTGTGTGGTCTGAGGCATGGCTGCTCTTTCATTGCTCGGTCCCGGGGAGTGAAAAGTCTCTTCTTTCCCCATTGAACAGTCTTGGCATCTCCTTCACCTGCACCAGGTCTTGTTGCATCTGTTGCAGCGGCCACTGAGTCACCCCAATGCGTGGTGACCCCGTGCACAATGGAATGAACCATCCCCGTGGTCCCTTGCGGCTCAGACCCTTTTCTGATTTCCTGAAGGAGATCCCCGGCCTGCCTTCCTAGTCTGTCTTAGGCTGGAAGCTCCGCTGAAACCTTTCAGCATCTCAATCACACACGCGCCTCCACGGAAGACGGGTGGGGGCTGGGACTCTAACGTGAGTTGTCTGCGTAGTAGGGGAGATTCTCCCACAGAGCCACCGCTGGCTCGTCTGAAGACATCGCGTGGTGTTTGACTGTGTGCTTGGCTGGCAGAAAAGGCTCCTGGGGCCCAGTTTTCCTGGGCTTCCTGTGGTCTTCAGGTTCCGTTTCTGCCAGCCCTGCACCCTTCTAGTGTCTTTGGGGTCTCAGCTGTCAGTTACAGGCTGCTGGTGTCTGGGGCTCATCTGTGCAGTTGGACAATGGGTGATGCGGCTTCACTCTGCTCCTGCCATGCCCAATCTCGATTAGCTTCATTGACTGACTCCTCGCTAAATGCCACCAGTTAATTGCAGTGATCACAGGCCTTCCTGCGCGTGCCCCTCAGCGAGAGAGGAGGCTCGGGAGCCAGGCGCGCGCTCTGCTAATTGGAGGGTTCCTTGTCAAAGGTATTGATTGCTACCACTCTTGCGGGTGAGTAATGGCCTCCCGCCTCCAGGGGGATTAGGCCACTAATTGCCAATGGCCTCCTATGACAAGCTGCACTTGGCAAGAGTCAGCCGGCTGCCCCTACTCTCCTCACCCACCAGTACCTGGAGAGGAACCACATTCAGAGATGAGGGGCGTGTTTCCCAAGACAGAGGAGCTAATGGGACCATGGGGGCTTTGAGGGCTGGAAGGCAGTTGAGAGGCATGGGAGTGATTGGGACAGGGCCCCGGGGTCCAACCTCTCTGTTACACGGGCTAAGAAAAGCTGCCAGGGGGCGAGCACGGGATGAGTCTCCAACACTGCTACTCGCCCCCTCCCGTGCCCGGCACCAGGGCTAAGCCAGGCGCAGTGGCATGCACAGCAATGCTGTCCTAGCTTCCAAAGGCTGGGACGGCCCACATGCCCCTCCATGGGTGAACGGGTACATGCGATGTGTCCATCCACTCAGTGGGACATCAGATAGCCACATTCCGTGGGGCGGACCTTGCACTGAGAGGCGGCAGCTCCCTGTGAGAGGCCACGTGCTGGAGGGTCCCGTTGACGTGAGGTGTCAGGAACCAGTAAACCCACAGAGGGAGAGCATCGGTTTGTGGCCACTGTGGTGTCGGGGAGGGACAGCTAGTGGGGAGCTCGAGGGGCCAGGAAAGGGTGGTCCAGGATGTGTGAAAGCCATTTGGTTGTTGGCTTGAAGTGGGTGAGGTATGTTGTATGGGAATCACATCACTGAAGCTGTTACCTATCAAATTCTGCTGGGAGACCCCATGGAAAGGGCTTTTAAGGGGAAGATCCCATCCCTCTAGTTTTCAAAGACTTATAGTGGGCTGTTGATTGAAATCAGACAGGGGAAGCACAGGGTGGAGGGGTGCAGACAGGGAATTTCTGTAGCGGACTTGGGGGGGCCCATACAAACAGGAGCTCACGGCCTCCCCCCTGCGCCTGGGTGCTGAAGCTTTCCAGAGCACGGTTCCAAGGCTGTGCACCTGCCTGTGGGGTCCAGCTTCACGCTCAGCGGGGTTCTGGGACCTCTTCCTCTGCTGGCTTCAGACCCACCAGGGTCTCCATCCTGAGGATGCCCCAGACCGGATCTTCCACCACTGAGAGCGTGTCCAGGCTGCTGCGACAGCCCCTATGTGTCTGGTGGGCACAGCCCCATGCCCCAGGGTGAGCCCAGCTAGGCTGGCTCTGCCACTGGGCTACATAGGACACCTCGTGGTGGAGCATGAGGGTGAGGCACACAGGCCCCCAGAGCTGTGCAAGAACTATGGTCGGTGCTGACCAGCAGCTACCCTCATGCAAGACCCAGGCTTGTCCGTGAGCCGAGAGGTTCTCCTCATGCTGTCCTGCCTGCTGGCCTTGGCCCGTGATAGCATGACTCCTCCCACAGGCTGCCCGCGGCATGCCCAAGCTCCTAGGGGCTGAGCTGTGATGTGGCCCTGCCTTGGTAGAGTAGAGTTCCCAGGTGTGGTCAGCAGCTGCCCCGTCGTCTCCTCCAGGGCTGCCCTGCACAGTGCTGCAGGCAGCTCCCACACCTAGGAAGCCACGGTCCTGATTTGGTGTTAGGTGAGCAGCAGCTCTGGGCCAGGTGGTAGTGGCTGGAACTCCTGTGCCACCTCCCACCACTTCCCTGGATAATGGAGAAATGGGAGTGACAGCTACGGGATGGAACATTTCTTTTTAGAGTGGTTAGAATGTTCCAGAATTAGTGGCTACACAACCTTATGAGTTTATTGGAATTCACTGACCTCACTCTGTAATGTGCTGAGGTTCAGGTCACATGAACTGTCTGTATAAGAGCCAGGCCCCTCCCTGCGTTACACCTGGGGCAGCCCACCCAGCTGTATCTGCTCTGCTTTCCTGACCACCATGGCCTGTGTCCCCAGGGGGACTAAAGGCCCTTGAGGGAACGCCCCCTACACACAAACGAGCTCAGGAAATATCAGCCACTTGTAGCTGCCCCACTGGTGTCGACCCTACCCCCTTCTGCCTGCTGTCTGCAAAGCCCTGCCTCTTCCCCCCATGAGGCAAGTATCCTGGGCTGCTGGCCTGAATGGGGAGGGCAGCCTTGTGGCATCGTGTCTTCCTGTGGACCCAGCAGTGTCCCTCCTAGGACCACATGTAGTCTCTGGGCTCTGTGGGTATTCCAGATGGCGTGGTACCCTGGTAGGGGTGGTGTCTGCCCCTCCCACCTTCGGGTCGGGGGGACTTCTCTTCCCTGGGGCCTCCATACCGGGTACCTCTCACTGGGCCTGGGCCTGTGGGGAGAGGTGAAGAGGGTGGAGGGAAGGAAACACTCAGTGGCTAGCTCCAGGGATTGGCTAGTATACCTGGAAATGAAGGTGGGGTCAGGCTGGTATACATGGATCTGGGGGTGGGGTCAGATCTGGGCACTTAGGTGCTGTCTTGTCCTTTCACAGGGTCCTCGCTGAGCACCGAGTCATCACCCGTGTCCTCTCCAGCCACAAACCACAGCTCCCCTGCCACCACACCCAAACGTGTGCCCATGGGCTCCATTATTGTCCCCCCTGGGGGCCACAGTGTTCCCAGCACGCCTCCCGTGGTGACCATTGCCCCTACCAAGACTGTCAACGGTGTCTGGAGGAGTGAGAGCCGGCAGGTGAGTGTTCCGGAGCTAGCGAGGCATGTCCTCTCCCTGCCCCCCCCCCCCCCAGCGCCCCTTCTAGGGCTACAGCTGTGGGCACAGTCACAGCTGCTCAGAAATAATCAGCCGCCACAGCTGGCCCCCAATGTCCAGCAGCCTCTAAGGGTGGCAGGGGACCCTGGCTGCCGCAGCTGGGGGCCAGGCCTGGACTAGGGGCTCTCCCTGGTCAGCTGCCCTAGTTCCCGGGGCCCCACCAGGAAAGCTGCTTTCATAGGCTGGTTTGCTGGGAAGTTCGCCCTAGGGAGTTCCTCAGACAGGCTCTCACCACAGGACAGATGCAGACAGCCCTCCCAGGCTCTGCACGTCCAGGATGGGGTCCAGTCTGCTTTGGGCCTGGCCTTTGTTGGGGGTGCTGCCCTAGCACCTGGAGACCTCCTGCCCCCCTTCACATGTGCAGGACGATGCTGTCCCATCACAGCCCCAGAGCTGCTCAGTGACCAAACTGTGTGCATACTTTTTCCCACACTGACCTTGGGCGCTGACCACTTGGATGGCTGTGAGTGTGGTAGGGGTTGGGGGTTGAAGAGAAGGTGGCTCCAGGGCACAGGCTGGGAGTTCACATGTGTATGAGCCCCCTACACTGATGCTGCACCTGCCTCCTGTCCCCTATTGTACAGTGACAGGCATGTGGCTGACCCATTTGACAGATGAGGAAACTGAGGTATAGGGCCTGTAGTGGTGTTTGGGATCTCTTGCTTGTGCAGAAACCCAGGCTTGGGCACCTGGCTGGTGTAGAAAGCACGGGCTGCAGTTGGTTCCGCCTGGGGTGATGGTACACATCCCACCCTTGTGCTCGTGGGGCGGGTCTGAGGCCAGGAGCCCGAGGCACTAGCCGGGAGCAGAGGCGCTAAGCCTCGTGGCAGGAAGGGGGTCAGACGCTGCTCCTAGTTAGGGTCCTCACCAGCGGGCCTGACTTGCAGCTCTCCTCACTTGTGTGCTCTCAGACAAGCTGTCAGTATGGCCTGTTCTAGGCCCCTTTGCTGCTTGCAGTAAGGGTGTCAGGGCTGGGCTGGCTCTGGGGTGGTCACACATGTGTGATTCCCTGACAGCTCATCTTAGGGGGCTTGAGGACTCATACTCTCTGGACCTTTCCTCACTGGCACTGTCCCCACTGTTGGCTTCCCTCCCCTGTGCCATCTATACAGCTGACCTCAGATGTGTGGCTGTTCCCACAGATGGAGGACAGTGTCCCCCATGTGGGCCAGAGCTAGCAACCTGGCCCTTGGTCTTTGGGACCCCTGAGGGCTCCTCCCCTTCCTGCCTTGAGCAGCCCCCTTGCCCCACTGAGCGTAGTCTGCACTCTGCCTGGGAGGCGGGGCAGGCGGCACGTAGGAAGGTGTCTGCACACAGGCACACCAGAGGGCACGGTCTCTGGTGCAGGAGTGGCCGTCCTTCCACGCCTCCTGTACACCAAGACTGGGCGGCCCTGGCCAGCTGACCCTGCCCACCACTTCATCCCGGTCCCTCATAGGATGCTGGCTCCCGTGGCGGCGGCAGCCGGGAACGTCTCGTTGTGGAGCCCCCACTACCCCAGGAGAAGGCAGGCGGCCCGGCCATCCCCTCCCACCTCCTCAGCAGCCCCTACCCCTTCGGGATCTCCCCCAGCTCAGTCGTGCAAGATTCCCGCTTCCCACCGCTGAAGTAAGTCTGCTGGTGGGGGACACCAGGCCAGGGAGGAGCCACTTGACAAAGCTGAGGGCCCCCCTACTGTCTGTCCCCGGGGCTGGGCCCCGCCTGCGCCTGCTCTCACACTCCTCAGCTGACCCCCACTCTCTGGCCCTGCCTCCGTCCCCTGTCCTCCATTCTTGGAGCCAGGGTCCTGGATCCCCAGAGCAGCTGCCATCTCTTTGCTGCCCTGGGTGTCCCTCCCACCAGGCCAGCACCTCGGGGGGGGGGGGGCTGTCCCCGAGGTGCTACAGGGGGACAGCAAGGTTCACCGTCTTGGTCCATGCTGTGCAGCCTGCAGCGGCCTGTGCACCACGTGGTGCCCCCCAGCACGGTGACCGAGGACTACCTGAGGAGCTTTCGGCCCTACCACACCGCCGAGGACCTGCGCATGTCCTCCCTGCCACCGCTCGGCCTGGACCCTGCCACTGCAGCAGCCTACTACCACCCCAGCTACCTGGCCCCGCACCCCTTCCCACACCCAGCCTTTAGGTGATTATGGGCCAGACCTGCCCTGCCCTTGTTCTGTCCACAGACCCGGGACCCTGGCCCCTGCACATCCTCTCATCCAGGCTTCTGATCCATACACAGCTCGGGAAGCACCCCCTAAGCTATGCCTGGCGTGCACCCTCTTGGGCCCTGGGGTGGAAGAGTGCCTATGGTCTGAGCCACCCTCTCCTGTGTCGGCCTGGTGACCACAGATCACTGCTGGTGACTGCCCTTCTGCTCTGGCAAAGTGCTGCCCCGCCAGAAGCAGCCCCTGTCCCAGACCTCCCAGTGTGCAGGCCAGGCAGGGTCGTGGTGGCCTCAGAGCCCCAACTCTGTGTCTGGTACTGCTGCTGGTGGTGCTTCCTGTTCCCAGTCAGCCGGGACCTGGGGGCTCCAGCAAGTGGGAAGCCCTGGACGCACCTGACAAGGGTTGGGGCATGGCTGTCGCCAGCCTGTTTTTCGTGTGTGTCTGCTCTGCACTCACGCCACCGCGTCCTCATGCAGGATGGACGACTCCTACTGCCTCTCAGCATTGAGGTCCCCCTTCTACCCTCTGCCCACGCCTGGCTCCCTGCCCCCGCTGCACCCCTCGGCAATGCATCTGCACCTGTCGGGGGTCCGCTACCCACCTGAGCTCACCCACTCGTCCCTGGCTGCACTTCACTCTGACCGGCTCTCCAGCCTCAGTGCAGAGAGGTGAGTCCACATGGGCCACACCGTGCCCTGTGACAGAGCACCTTGACCACTCCCTCTCCAGGGTCTCCACCTCCGGAACGGGGCAGGGTAGTTAAGGTTTCACCCCATGAAAAGTGGTCAGTGGGCACAGAGCTGGGGGGTTGAGGGGACGGCAGCATGCAGGGAGAGCTGGGCCCAGGGAGGCGTGGCTCTCCGTGAACACCCCCCCCCCGCCCGTCTCCCCTCCCAGAGCCCCTCACTGACTCCACCCTGCTTCCCATCAGGCTCCAGATGGATGAGGAGCTGCGGCGGGAGCGGGAACGGGAGGCTGACCGCGAGCGGGAGAAAGAACGTGAACGTGAGCGGGAGAAGGAGCGCGAGAAGGAGCTGGAGCGGGAGCGGGAGAAGGAGCGCGAGAAGGAGCTGGAGCGCCAGCGGGAGCAGCGGGCTCGTGAGAAGGAGCTGCTGGCTGCCAAGGCGCTGGAGCCCGCCTTCCTGCCCGTGGCTGAGCTGCATGCACTGCGGGGCCTCGCTGCAGATGAGCGGGCCAAGCCCTCGGAGCAGCTGACCCCAACACGCACAGGTACCCGGTGAGGCCACAGCCTCGTGGGGGTGTGCTCACAGAGGGGTGGTGAAGGCCCTGATCTGCTGAGCTGATGGATCCCATGGTGCACGCAGGTGAGGGGAGAGCTCCTAGGAGCACAGGGCACAGTGCTGGACCAACCGAGCAGCATGCTTGGAGTTGTGTCCCTGGTGTCACTCATCCTGCTGTACGGTTGACGGTCTTTGAGCAACAGCACGTTCAGCAGCCAGTTGACAGGCCCTAAGAGCCCAAGTCTGCCCTTGGGAGGCAGTTTGAGCCCACTGCCTGGTGGGTCTGTGGCCCTTGGCGAGGCAGAACACACTTCCTGAGTATTTCCCAGGGAGGACCTTTCTGTGGGGTGCGGGCTACACTGGGCCCCGTGCCACGTGTGATGGTGTTTCTCCCCACAGAGAAGCTCAAGGAGGCAGGCCTGCAGGCGCCTAAGCCTATGCCACACCCCCTGCACCCAGCACCCGCCCCACACCCCAGCGTGCCCAGCCTCATCTCCAGCCACGGCGTCTTCCAGGCACTGCCCGGCAGCAGTGCGGCTGCTGCTCTGCTCATCCAGCGCACCAACGAGGAGGAAAAGTGGCTGGCACGGCAGCGGCGGCTGCGGCAGGAGAAGGAGGACCGGCAGTCCCAGGTGTCGGAGTTCCGGCAACAGGTGCTGGAGCAGCATTTGGACATGGGCCGTCCCCCAGTGCCCACGGAGGTGGACCATCGGCCTCCTGAGAGCAGCAGGTGGGTGTGGGCAGGGCTAGGGGGCAGGATCAGGCTCCTCAAATGCCACCAACAGCTAGCGAGCACCTGCTCTTTGCCCTGAGTGTAGCTGTGCGTGTTGGCTGGCTGGGCCCATGGGCTGTGTATAGACACCTGTGTTCCTTAGTCCATCCAATCTGTTCTGCCTGTGAGGAAGCAGAGACTCTGAGAGGAAAGTGAGGTGGCCAAGGCCCCTCTGCTGAGTAGGAGCTGAGGCCATGTCTGAAGCCAGACCCCTCTCCAGGGACCTGGGCTCCCCCAAGGACATGAGGAGGAGCTTTCTGTGTGCCCCAAGCTCTGGAGCCTGAACTTTGAGGTGGTTGGGTATTTTTTTTCCCCCTAAATGCCAGCCAGGTTTCCTTTTATTCGTTCTTAAAGGACTCACTCGTTGCCTGTGTAGCATAAGTCTGCCTGTTGGCCAGCCCTGTGGGAGGCCACGCCCCAGGGCCTCTTGGGCAGTCTCTGAAGTCCCTCACTGCTTGGGGCTGGAGCGTTTCTGCTGGGGCTTAGCCAGGCTCCTGACCCTCCAGGCCTCACAGGCAGAGGGGCTGGCGGTGGCTCCGTTTTCTTGTTTGTGTGCTGCTAGGAACAGGCAGGAAGCCTTGGGCTGCTTTCTCACTGGGCGCTCTATGGGCCCACCATCCTCCTGTCAGGTCCCTTGTCTCCTCGCATGTTGTGGCTGGCTGAAGGCTTGGTGCAGGGTGGGGGTCAGCCCCAGTGACTGCCAAGCTCATGGGGCAGCAGGGCTTCTCTATGTGACAAGGAATGCACCCTGGCCAGGGGCCACCTTGGAGCTTAGCCCAGGCTCTTGAACAGAACTGCCCTCCCCTGTCATGTTCAGGTGATCCTTAGTGGTCCCTGCAGGCCAGGTGCTGTAGAAGGCAGGTGACCACTGGAGCTCCCCAATCCCTCAGGCACATGAACACGATGCTTGACAGGCAGCCCTGTGTGCTGATCAGAAAACTGCTAAACATTAGCCTCAGCACACGAAACGTTTGTTCTGCTAACGGGCTTCGGCCCTTTGCTGTTTACTTAAGAACAAGCCATGTGTTGGCATGGCTCCTCTAGCACTCTGCTGATCTGAAGTGCAGCCTTGGGTCTCTCTTGGCTTTGTGGCTATGCTCCCTGGCCAGGTGGGGGGAGCCTGGTTGCCCCAGGAACCTGTGCCCTTCAGGCTGCTCCAGGCCAAATGCACAGGTGGCCCACGCCCCAAACAGGCTTGCAAGCTGGGGTTTGTTTCAGGTGCACTGAGGGAACAAGTCCTTAGCAGGGTGGGGGTGCCTGCTGTCAGGTGGATGGTCCCTGGCCTGTCTTCCATGGGGACGCAGGTTCTCTGTGCTGCCTGGCAGACAGGAGGCTGCAGCAAGGAAGCCCTGGGCCCCCTGTTGTTCTGGGGCTTTCCTGGCACCAGAAGTGTCTCTGGAAGTGAGTGGGGACTGGGCCAGGCAGCCCCCAGAAGCTGGCCTCTCATTGCCTCTTAAAGGTAGCATGGGCTGGGGAGCAGTAGATAGCCCCTTTAAGGAGGTGGGCTCACCTGTCATCTGGGGTGACACGAATGACATGAGTTATGGTGAGGACGTGGCTGAGAACTGGGACAGCCAGGACCCACCTGAGCCTCGGTGTCCCTGAAAAGCAGGAATTAGAGGTGTGTACAAACACCCAGCTACTCCCTTGCTCCCCAGCCTCCAGTTGCAGGGCTTGAAGGGGTCGAGTCTCCATCCCCTTGCAATGGTTGCGGGCTTCTCCTCCTGGGGCAGGCCCCCCAAGTCTGACGGTGTGGTCCGTTCGCTTCCAGGCCGGGACCAAACCGCCATGAGCCAGGCAGCCGAGAGCCCCCGCAGCACTTTGGCGGGCCCCCACCCCTCATCTCGCCCAAGCCTCAGCACCATACTGTGCCCACGGCCCTCTGGAACCCTGTGGCCCTGATGGACAACACCCTGGAGCCCCGGCGCGTCCCTGACAGCCTCCCTCTGCATAGCCACCCGAGCCCATTCGAGCCAGGGCGCCAGGCCACCGTGCCACTGGTGAAGGTAGAAAGGGTCTACTGCCCAGAGAAGGCCGAGGAGGGGCCCCGGAAGCGTGAGGTCACTCCCCTGGACAAGTTCCAGCCGCTGCGGGAACCAGGGGGCCTTGAGCACCCAACCTTCCCCCATGGGCCCTTCCTGGGTGAGCTGGAGAAGTCGGCCCAGACCCCCTTGGGCCAGCAGCGGGCCCCCCTCAGCCAGGCAGCCCCCTTTGGGGAGCTGGGCGGGCGGCCCCCAACGCAGCGAGGCCCCGACCCAGCCTACGTCTACGACGAGTTTTTGCAGCAGCGCCGCCGACTGGTCAGCAAGCTGGACCTGGAGGAGCGCCGGCGGCGGGAAGCCCAGGAGAAAGGTCTGTAGCTACTGTACACTGGCCCCTGGCAGGGATGGGTGCTAGACCCCCTGCTGCTGGCACCGGGTGTCAGCAGCCTCTGAGGTCACTGGCTGCTGCCTGTGGCCCCAGCTGCACATATGTGCCATTAATGAGCGATGGGTGCAGGCCAGGGAGATGGTTTTTACGTATTAATTGTCTGTTAACCGTACAGCATTAGGGTGGCAGTAGGCATTGCCCAGGAGGGGCCAGGGACCCTTTCCTTTCTGGATCAGCTCCTTAGGTTCCCCTCAAAAGACCAGGTGAGCACCCCCACCCCCCAGTGGCTCCAGGACAGAGGGAGGGAGGGTATAGACCCCAGCTGAGACAGGCTCGGCTCTCAGGCTGCTTGACTGTTGAGTTCGGCCCTGAGGCAGCCTGGAAGCTGGTAGACCCAAGTCATGGCCTAGCTGAGCTAGGGGCCTGTGTACAGGGCCTCCTCCACTGTCTCCACATGTGGCTGGCCTGTATCATGCCTTTGACTAGACGGGACCTGTGTCAGCCTGGCTTGCCCTGGGAGGGGGGGTGCCAGTGGCCTTTCAGGAGGGAGTATGTGCACAGCCATGGCTGGCCTCCATTCGTGCCTGTACCCCTGGGAACCGCAGGACGGAGCTGGTGCAGATGTCCACCTGGCACATGGTGGTGGGGAACTGAGGCTCCCCACCTGAGCAGAATCCCCCTTACACCCTCAGGGTACTACTACGACCTGGACGATTCCTACGACGAGAGCGATGAGGAAGAGGTCAGGGCCCACCTGCGCTGCGTGGCTGAGCAGCCCCCCCTGAAGCTGGATACATCCTCTGAGGTCCGCGTGCCCCTGGCACTTGCGGGTGGGCGGCCGGGCAGCGCCTGCATCACACTGACTTGTGCTCTCTCCCAATCTAGAAGCTAGAGTTTTTGCAACTTTTTGGCTTGACCACCCAACAGCAGAAGGAGGAGCTGCTGATGCAGAAGCGGCGGAAGCGGCGGCGGATGCTGCGAGAGAGAAGTCCGTCCCCACCTACAGTGCAGAGCAAGCGGCAGAGCCCCTCCCCGCGCCTGGCACTGTCCACCCGCTACAGCCCCGACGAGATGAACAGCAGCCCCAACTTGGAGGAGAAGAAAAAGTTCCTCACCATCTTCAACCTGACACACATCAGTGCCGAGAAAAGGAAAGGTGAGGCCCGGACCTCGTGGGCGCCGTGCTGTGCTCGGTCAGGGCTGTCCCCAGTTCCTCACGCTCCCTGGGAGCAGTGCTGCTGCCTGGCTGTGTCACGGCCCCCGTGGAGCCCAGGCACTCACTGCAGGCAGCAAACGGGTTGTGCACCCTGCTGAAGGGCCTGCGGTAGGCCAGCCATTCCTTGTGCTGGGACCAGCTCTTCTCTCTTTAACGAGGAGGCGTCCTCGGGGTTGTGCCAGGCTAGAGTCGTCACCGTACACACAGCAGAGGTGTGTGTGTTCGTGTGCGCGCTCTGCAATACCTGTGCAGGCCAGGCGACGGCTCTGGTCACAGTTAGGTTGACAGTGCAGAGGCAGCAGGGTCTCTGAGCTGAGTTTTGGCACCTCCTGGCTTGGGTGGTGGCTGGTTTTCCCATGGCACTGCTGACAAGGTAGCTGTATCCATGTTCAGCGGCAGGAAGCCCGGGGGTGGGGAATGGTCTGGTGAAAGGCCTGCAGCCCCCAGGCAGAGCTGCCTCATACAGACAGGGTGGCGGGCCTCGCATCCACACGCCATGGACCCTGGCTCGGCCTCGGCCACCTGTTTGCACAAGCCCCTCTCTCAGACCTTACTGATTGCCTTGAGAACTGATTTCATGATTGGGGTGTAGAAAAGCTTTTTTTTTTAAAAAAACCAGTAAGCCAGAATTTTCACTTTCCCTTAAAGGAGTAAAAGTTCGTTCCCATGGCGTCAGATTGACTCTGGTGACCCTGCACATGTCAGAGTAGAACAGTGCTCTGTAGTGTTTCCAGTGGCTGACTTTGGGGAAGTCGGTCCCAAGCCTTTCTTCTGAGTCTGGGTAGACTCGAATCTCCAACTTTCCCGTTAGCAGCTATGTGCCTTAACTGTTGTCCATCCACCCCAGGACTTCCTTAACAGTAGTTGGCATGTTTGCCTCTGGGACAAATCCCTGGAAACAGGCATAGTTTTGTTTTCATCTGGCCTGATTCCTGGAGGACCACAGGTGAGGTGGCGCCAACACAGGATGGCGGTGTCCTCCTCCACCATGAGGGGCAGTTGTCACAGGGCTGTGATTGTTCGCTGGGTGTTGGCCATGGGAGCACACTCAAATGGGCGGTGCTTCCTGAGATGTCTGCCAGTGGCCTCAGTCATTCCTGGTGCCGAGACCAGCTCTTCTCTCATCAATAAGGATGCATCTTCACAAGTTGCCAGAAGGCTGCATGAATGCAGTGGCCGTCGTGGCTGTGCACACAGTGATCTCGAGACGCGCTGAGAGGGTTGCCGGTGAGGGCTGCTGACCATGAGCCCAATGTCACTTGCCTCTTACTGGTCTTGATCTTGTGTCCTTGCCCTGCTGGTGCAGCCGGCTGGGAGCCAGCCCCTTCCCCGGACAGTGTCCGGGCCTCGTTAATCCCGGGCTGCTTTCCTCGCAGACACACAGAGGCTTATTGGATTGCTCCGTGCCATGAAGCAGAAGACGCTGTCAGCCATGGTGACAGGCACACTGACACACACTCCGAGGGACAGTCCTGTTGCCTCCCTGAGCGGTAAGGCGCAGGGCGGGACACAGCCCCGTCAGCCACCACCCTGGAATGTCCACGAGGCTGCCGGGCTGGGCTGTGCTCGGGGCTGCGGTCTCAGTGGCCACATCTTCATCTTGGACCCGCCTCTTGGACACTTTATCAGCACCACTCTTGTGTGCTGTGTAGTTTTCTTGCACAAGGTGACTGAGACTCGAGCTGAGTTGGGAGTCTGTCACACCTTCCTGGGTATGGCAGCGCTCTACTGGTTGCTGCTCTTCTGTCAGCCCTCCTTGTCTGGGTCTCACACCATCTGCCTTCCAGAACCTCCTGCACCTGCTTCTGGCCTCTCAGCTGCCGTGCTTCCACTGTGGACGGCACGTGGCATCTGCCACTCGAATCCTCATGGCTCCTTGTGGGTCTTTCTGCCTGTTGCTCTTCCACCTTGAATGTCAGCCTCAACCCAGCAACTTGCTTCTTCCCTGAGATTCTCTTCCTGACACAGCTTTCAAGGGTGGACTTTCTTCTAAACACAGCTCATCTTCAGGCCATGAAACATTCAGTGCCCTGTAATTAACTGTCCCCAAGTCTTGTGTTGGGAACTCTGGGGACATCGTGTCTAATGCATTTGACTACTTACCAGAAAGCTTGAGGTTCAAACCCACCAGCCACTCCTTGGAAGGAAGGTTGGGCAATCTACCTCTGTAGAGATACCCCCTCGTAAACCCAAGGAGGGGTCGCTATGAGTCAGATTCAACTCAATAGCAGTGAGTTTGGTTTTTTTGGTTTAAACTTTGGTTCACACTGGGCTGTCAGGGTTGTGCTCTGGCGGTTAGCATCCACGTAAAGGATACCTAGCCTGTGAACGTGCAGCGCTAACCCTTCCCCTCACTTTGTTTCTGAAAGAACCAGCCACGCAGCAGACCTCCCTGAATGTGGACAAGCCCGTCGGCATCGCTGCATCCCTGTCCGATGTCCCAAAGGCTGTGGAGCCGGGGAGCCAGGAGCCAGCTCCAGCCTGTGTTGAGAAGGCCAGGCTGGGTGGGCCACCTGGGGGCGAACGAGGCCTGAGCCTACTGCACTGCGTCCGGGGCCCCACGCCCAAGGGTGTCCCTGTGCCGCTCTCACACAGCATCAACGGCAGGAGCAAGCCCTGGGAGCCCTTCCTGGCAGAGGAGTTCGCACACCAGTTCCACGAATCGGTGCTGCAGTCCACGCAGAAGGCCCTGCAGAAGCACAAAGGTAACTCCTGGTGCGCTCCTGCTGCTGCATGTGCCGGCCACCCCTTGACTGGGCTGCCCTCCTGGGGCCCACACAAGGCTCTCGGCCCCCGTGTACTAGAGTCGTGGAGGGCTGCAGATGAGCTCCGCAAGGTTCCACACACGATGCCGTCTGAGTCGAGCAGAGCTGCCCTGCTTCTAGTATGGCTGATAGCTAAGGCCTTGTGCAAGTGGTGTTCCCCTCCCAGGATTGGCCTGGCAGCGCCAGCTCTACTGAACACCTGGGACCATCCCCTGAGAGTCGGGAGGGAAGGACAGAGGCAGCCACTTTCTGTTCCCACTGAGTCACAGGCAGAGACTGACCAGCAAAGAATCCTCCAGTTACTAGAGAATGTAATAAATATCTAAGAACCTTGACCTTCAGTCATCAGAAGAAATGCCAAAAACATTTCTAAGTGTCCTGTTAGAGGGTATAAACGTGAACCTGGTGAGCATTTTCTAATAAATAAGCATGGCAGAGCCCTTGAAAATGGAACAGGTACTTGATGGTGTTTCTGTCATGAACGTACTTGAAGGGTGTAATAGCAGCATCTGGCTAGAGGTGAATAGCCGCGCCTCCTGAGAATGGAGCAGGGAGAAGCTGCCAGGGTCCTTATAGAAAGTTGGGCCCTGAAGTGGCTTCTTAAACACTTCCTCCTCCCTTTTCTCTTTCACCGTTTACTCACATCACCTGTGACCATTTGGTCTGACATTCAAAGGTAGAGAGGAGGAGGCGGTAGCCAGATCCCTCCCTGCTGGCTCAAGCCACACAGCCTGTGTGCCTTTCTGGGAGCTGTATCTGAGATGGGCAGACAACTGCAGAGCACAGGGCTGCCCTACTAGGAGACCTGCAGCTGCAAACCTGTCACCAAGGGGCAGGGCAGAGCCACCCTCTTCACTGCCCTGCCCCCCACAGCACGCCCCCAAAGGCTGAGCCTTGTTCTCTCCTTCCGGTAGGCCACACAGCTCTGCTGTCAGCAGAGCAGAACCACAAGGTGGATACATCCGTCCATTACAACATCCCTGAGCTGCAGTCCTCCAGCCGGCCTCCCCGGTCCCAGCACAATGGCCAGCAGGAACCTCCGCCAGGGAGGAAGGGCCCCATCACCCAGGAGATGGACCAGGACTCAGAGGGTGATGACGACGAGGAGGGAGGAGAGGAGGAGGAGGAGGAGGCCCCCAGACGGAAATGGCAAGGGATCGAGGCAGTTTTTGAAGCTTATCAGGAACACATAGAAGGTGAAAACGGGGATGGGGAGAGCGGGAAAGATGGGCTGGGGTGTGTGTGGGGGGAGCGGACAGGAAGGAAGTTTAATGGCCCAGTTAACGCAGGCTTTCGTCACCAACCTTAGGAAAAGTTTCTTAGCGACAGCGGCAGAGCCCCTATTTCCTGAGACACAGCTAGATACAGACACCAGAGGGTCTTGTCCAAACAAGTGGTAGCCTCTACTTGGCTGTTTAGCTCAGCCAGGAGCTCCTTGCTGTGTAGCCAGTGCCCAAGTTCCTTGTAACGGAGGAGAGCAGAGCCCATTCTCACTGGGCTGTATATGCCCTGAGCCCACTCTGCCCATCCCAATCCAGCCTGCCCTGAGGAAGAAATGCCACAAGCATCTCTACGTGTTTTACTTACTGAGGGCTATGCATGTGGCCTGGAGAGGGATAGATCCCCAGAGCCTGCCCAGTAGGCCAATGATGCCCAGCTACCCATGTACGTTGTAGGGGAGGCTGGCCCAGAGTGTGTTCTTTGAGGCAGGGTGCGTAAGCTACAGCACCAGGGGCACGTGGGCAGTGAGCCACGGTGAGAGGCAGCCAGGCAGCGTCTTCAGTGGACATGTGGCCATTGTTGATGGTGTTTCTGTGTTTTGGGTACCTTCCCTACGGCAAGGTTATCAAGATGTTCTTGGAGTTTCTTCTAAAATCTTTTTAAGTTCTGCTTTTTCTTGTCACGTGCCATATTTGCTTGTGTGCGTGGAATAAGGTGGAGAGCCAGTCTTACCTTCCCAGCACAGGTAGCCATTCAACCTGGTGCTTACTAAAAGGCCCCTTTGTCCCTGGGGTCAGCCCCATGGGAGAGAACATTGCCCTCAGCACCTCAGCTGTTTCTCTTGGCCTCCCCACACGAATTTTAGGGTCATCTTAAGTTCCCAGAAGGTGGCTTTTGGGTGCATCAGAGCAACAGCCTTGGTTCTTGCTGTTAACATCACCAGTCTAGGATACGATATGAAACTGTTAAGTCGCCTTGGTGTTTTTCCCCCAAGTTTTACTGGGTTTAGTTTTAGGTATAGTTTGGTGGTGGTTGTGGTCGTTACCTGACACGTCATTTTTATCATAGAAAGGCTTTTTCTTGTATCCGGCAACCTTACCAAACTCTTAGTTCTAATGACTTGTAGATGGATCCTCTTATTCCCATTTAGGTTATCACATGATCCAACCATCAGCAGATACAGTGTCTAGGTCTTGTCACGTTTTATACCATGTTGCCTAGGACCCCCAATGCTGTTGAATGGAAGGGGCTCCTGTCTTGTGAGTGAAATCTTAGAACAGTCCCATTAACAACTAAAGGTGTCATTTGGTACATTTATCATGTGTGGCTATTGAAAGTGACAGAATTGTGGTGGGGGGGTTGTTTTGTTTTTGTTTTTTTAAATGTCAGGGCTATTGCAGTGGGTGCTGAGAGGGAGAAGCAGATGGGTGGTGAGTGAGTAGTGGTTGGCACAGGTGTCAAGGGGAGATGGGGTGGTGGTTGACTAAGGAGGGAACCCTCACACAGCCCTGAAATACCAACCTTACATGGTGGGCAGTTTCTGTACCAGTTTCAGCAGATCTGATGTCCCTGAGGGATGAAATAGTATGAAGCCACGAAACAGTGCGTGCCTTCAGGACTAAAGAAAAGGAGCACTTGTTAGTCTTCTGTGAACTAGTCAGAGCCAAGTTACAAAACACTAGAAGGTTGTTTCCAACCAATGTGGTTTTACTTCTGCTCCAGCCCCAGCTTCCTTGAACCTTGGCTGGAGGAGCAACAGCCCAGGTGGTGGTGCCCCTCGTAGCTTCCCTCCTCCTTCCTGAGGCAGATGGTGACCTGGGTAAACTTTTCTTTGACAATAATGGGGAAATGTCCTCCAAGGTCATCCACCGTAATGTTGCATAGTATTCCTCTGTGTGTACGTACCATCGTCTGGTCGTTCATTCATTGGTGGATGGGCACTTAGGTTGTTTTTATCCATTTACTATTGTAAATGGTGCTGCAATGACCATGGGTGTGCATGTATTTCTGAGTTTGTGTCTCTGGGGATATATGTTGTACCTCTTTAGGATATATTCCTAGTAGTGGGGTTGCTGGATCAAATGGTATTTCCAACTTTTTAAGGAAGCACTATACCATGTTCCACAGTGGTTGTACCATTTTATAGTCCCACAGTGTATGAGAGTTCCAATCTCACCACATCCTCACCAGCATTTGTTATTTTCTGTCTTGTTGAACTTTGCCGTCAGTGCTAGGGTGTGATGATATTTCGTCGTTTTGATTTGCATCTCGACTGCAAGCATTTCTTCATGTTTGCTGACTGCCTGGGTATCTTTTTTGGTGAAGTGCCTGTTCGTGTATTTTGCCCATTTTTGAAGTGGATTATTTGATTTGATATTGAGGTATTGAAGTTTTGTGTAAGTTTTAGAGACAAGTTTCTTGTCAGGTATGTCATTGCCAAATACTTTGTCCCCAACCTATGTTGTTGTTGTTGTTATGTGCCGTCGAGTCAAACCCGACTCATAGCGACCCCTCCTTGGGTTTCCGAGGCAGTATCACTACGGAAGTAGGATTGCCCAACCTTCCCCAACCTATAGGTTCTCTTTTTTACTCTTTTGGAGAAGTCATTTGATGCACAAAAGTTAATGTTCAGAAAGTCCCAGTCATCTAGTTTCTTTTCTGCTGTCTGTACATTTGGGGTGATGCTTGATAGTCTACTTATGCTATAAATTAGGGCCTTTAAGTTTGCCCCTATTTTTTCTTTTTATAGTTTTGTGTTTTACATTTAGATCTCTGATCCATCTTGAGTTCATTTTTGTGTGTGGTATGAGGTATTGATCTTGTTTCATTTTTCTGCGCATGGATATCCAGTTTTTTGCCACCACGATTTATTAAAGAAGTCTCTTCTTTGCCACTTTGGATGCCTCTTTTTTTTTTTTTTTTTTAAAAAAAACCTTGTTGCCTTGGCTAGAACTTCCACTATACTGTTGAATAGAAATTGTGATAGAAGGCACATTCCCAAGGGGAATGGTTTCAGTTTCTCTCTCCATGGAGAATAATCATGGAGAATAATGTTGGCTGTTGGTTTTGCTGTATGCCCTTGATTGTGTTGAGGGATTTACCTTCTAGTCCTGTTTAAGAGAGTTTTTATCAGGAATGGGTGTTGGATTTTTATCAAATGCCTTTTCTGCATTGATTGATATAATTATGTGATTCTTGTCCTTTACTTATGTGATGGATATGAACCCCATATGGTCATAATGTATAATTTTTTTGATGCATTGTTAGAGTCTGTTGGCTAGGATTTTGTTGAAGATTTTTATGTCTATATTCATGGAGGATATTGGTCTGTAGTTTTCTTTTCTAGTGGTGCCTTTGCCTGGTTTTGGGGTCAGGGTTCTGCTTACTTCGTAGAATGAATTTGGGGAGTGTGCCATCCTTTTCTATGTTTTGCAGCAGCTTGAGTAGGATGGGTGTGAGCTCTTCTCTGGGTGTTGGATAGAACTCTCCAGTGAAGCTGTATGAGCCACTACTAATTTTTTTTTTTATGACCTGTTTAATTTCTTCCTTTGTTCTAAGTCTGTTCAGATTTTCTATCTGTGTGCTAGTTTAAGATAGGTCTTGTTGTGTTTCTTGAAACTTGTCCATTTTTCCTAGGTTTTTTTAATTTGTTGGAGCCCAGTACTCTAGAAAGGTGACAGAATGGTTCTATCTTTTGTTTTCTGATAGCCATGGCTGTTACTTGCTGTCAGGCTTGCTCCAACGTGTGGTAGTCCCATGTGCAACAGAACGTTTTCCATCCTGCTGCACCTTCAGGACTGGTGTGTGCAAATCCACATGTATGGACTGCTTTCCAGCCCTATCTTGGAGAGTGTTCTCTTATGATCCACGGGGTTTTCAGTGGCCAGTGTATGGAAGTAGAAGACTAGGCCTCTTCCTAGTTCTTAGTCTGGAAGCTCTGCTGGAACCTGTCCCTCATGGATGAGCCTGTTGGTATTTGAAATACTGGCTGCAGCATAGCTTCCAGCAACATACACGTTACCCCAGTATGACAAACTGACAGATGGTGGTTTAAGTGGTACTGGCCTCCGTTATAATTTTACTGTACTTTGACTAACAAGCTGGTTCTGGCCTCTCTGTAGTCACTCTCAACTGTGTCAGTGGTGAAGGTCTGTTTATCCCCAGTACTATACTTTCTGCCCTTTTTTCTTTTGGTGACACTGAGCTCTTTCTCCCTCCCTCCCATGTTTTCTGTGTCAATAATTTAGGTACTTGCCTTTTTTCCCTTGTCTTAGTTTCACTCTGGCCTTTACCCAGCAGCTTAAATATAAAGCCAGCGATTTCATTTGAGTCCCTCAAATCACCTTCAATTGCAGATCCTTTCTCCTTGCTCCGAGGGGCTGGTATCTTAGCCGTTTCACCAGTGTGGTGCCCGGCTGCCAGGGCCCCTGTGCACTGAAGCTATCTCGCGTCTTGTCTTTTCAGAACAAGATCTGGAGCGGCACGTGCTACAGACACAGTGCCGGCGGCTGGAGGCCCAGCACTACAGCCTCAGCCTGACGGCGGAGCAGCTCTCCCACAGCATGGTGGTGAGTTGGTGCAACAGTGGGTCCTGCGGAAGCTTCAGGCAGGCTCATGCTAAGTACATGTTTTGACAGGAAACACTGCTCTTGAGAAACATGTAGTCTGAAGAGTCAGTCAATGACTCAGGCTGGCATTAGTGAAGGTGGCTCTCTAATCTGTAGATTATCTGTAGAATGCTGCCCTGGGGAGGATAAAGGTGCTAGTTCTTGTCCCGTAATTGGGAAGTTCTTACTGCTTATCTCAGTCCCCTCCTTAGTGGTTTGCTGAGGAGGATGGAAGGTGATTTTAATGGAGAAGGAAATCTCTTAAAGCAAAAACTGCTGCCTTCCAGCACAAACCCTGCTGGGCATCTAGTGTGCCAGGGGCAAGCCTCGGACCAGGGCCACTGCAGAAGCAGTGCGGCTGACTTAAAGAACTCCAGGCTCAAGCTGAGGCTGCACGTGGACAGTAGTTCTGGGAGAGGCCAGTCTTTTGAGGTCCCAGGACTCTGGGAGAACCAATTCAAACTGCCCCTGTGGACCACTCTGCGGGAGGGTCTGTCTATCAGCAGCACAGCTAGCCCCTGGCCCATCCGAGTAGCGAGTTTTGATGGATGTCTTTGTATCTCCAGGAGTTAAGGAGCCAAAAGCAGAAGATTGTTTCAGAAAGAGAACGACTCCAGGCGGAACTGGACCACTTACGGAAGTGCCTTGCGTTGCCTGCGATGCACTGGCCTAGGGGTTACTTTAAGGGACACCCGAGGTGACGGTTTCCCTTGCACTAGGCCAAACCTATAGTATAGAAATTATATCTATTTTATTACCTTGAATATTTAATATTTTTCACTGGGAGGTTTGAAGCTTAATGAGAATGTGCCATGCATGAAGCCAAGGAGTCCAGACTCCAGAAGGAACGAGCTCGCCGACTTCCACGCCTCTGAACCACCTGGGTCAGTCAGCACGCTGCCCACCTGGGAAGCCGCTAGGTTCCTTCCTTAAAGGCGGTTTTGTTCTTTCTTCCCCCACATCATCTTTCCTCTGAAAGTGAAGGCTCTATTCCCAACACTAAAACCTTACCCCTTACAGCCTGGGTGTGCGTGATCAGGCCACATGATGGCCTTCCTTGTCGCTGGCTTTGCTCTTTGCTGTGACGAGGGGCTAGGTAAGTCGTCACACTGCCGAGAGTGAGGCTTGCTCCAGCTGAAAGGAAGCTCGGGTGCCTTGTGAGTAAAGGGCTTGTTTCAGTTACTTTTCTGCGAAACTTCATGAGCGCACAAGATCCTGGGAGCGCACGGTTGACAATCCTTAGAAACTCACTCACCAAGGCGGTCGCTGGAAAAGCTCAGCCCTGAGAGGAGAGGGAGGCGACAGACTGAAGGTACCATTTGTTCCTCTGCGGGGGAAACGTACAGAGCTCTGCGTCTCCAGACACCGGCACCCACCCCATCATTGCTGCCATGGGGGATGTTTTCATACAAACGTAAATTTTGAAAGAAAAGTCAAAGGTGCTTCAGCCTTGTACTGTGTATATATATTAAAAACAAAGTTTTGTATGTTTTTATTACTTTAATTATTGTTATAAAAAGCCTGCCATTTTTAATATGTGGTTTGGGGATTTTTGTTTGTTTTCCTGTTTGGGGGTTTTGCTTTTTGTTTTTTTCTGGGCAAAAGGGAAAAAAAAAAAAAACCAACCTTGCTTTTAGTGTTTGTACTGCTGCTGGTCAGGACATTGAAGTGTTTTTAAAATTAAGAAAAGTAAAAGAGCTTTACCACTGGCGCCTATGCGATCCCTTCATTTGTGATTTGATTTGCACCAAGGAACGTGTAGAAAGCCATGCACACTCCTCACCTCCTCCCTTCCCTCCCTCTCCGCCTCCCCTGGCATCTGGATGGCAAGTTGGTATGAAGTGAGGCCAGGATGGTCCATGGTGGGAACACGTTCACGTGCGTGCACTCATGGGCCGTACGTGAGCCTGTCAGAGAACCTTCTGGAAGTGCGCAGTTTCTGAGACCCAGTCCAAGATGTCTTAGAGCAGAGCATTCTGAGAGCAGGGAACTTCTGAGGCTTCATTTAGATGCAAAGTTTTGTCAGAGCCTAGAGTAGGGTGGGGAGCTCTGGTGGCGTAGTGCCTAAGGCATTTGACTGCTAACCAGGACAGTGGTTCAAACCCACCAGCCACTCCTCAGAAGGAAGACTGAGCAACCTACTTCCATAAAGATTTATTGCCTTGGATCACTATGAGTCGGGTCCGACTCAATGGCAGTATGAGAGTAGGGTGAGCAACTTCGGAGCAAACCCTCTCCTCTTGAACTTACTATGACAGGCACAGGAGCACTAGGACAGGGATCACCGTGCCTGGGAGTCCGTCCAGGCATGTGTCATGTAACCAGGACCAAGGCCGGTGGCAAGGGGAAGAGGTGGTGGCATGAGCCTCCCAGAGGCAGGCCCTCTCTGTCATGGGTCAGCCAAAGGGCTGTCTGATGGGGGAGGGGGAGCACTGCTCACTGAGCTCAGTGGCAGAGCCCTCAGCCCGACCTCTGCTGTGTGGGACAGCTTGCTGGCAGATGGCGTTGTGTCGCTTTATCTGTTCCCACACAGTTTGCTTTGTACGTCTGCCAAGACTCTTCCAGTTATTAGCAAACTCAAAAAGTGCCGCCAGTATTAGCAGCAGTCGGCGAGCGCCCTCCTTTCCATAGCTCTGACTAGAGCATGGAGGCTGTGCCGTGGCCACCTCCCCCTGCAGAGACACTGAGAGATGAACCTGTCCCACAGGCGGGGACAGGTGTTTGTTTAGAGCAAGCAGTACTGCCAACCACCGGAGCAAAGTACCCCTGAATTTCTCTGTTGAATGGCTGCTTGCTGTTTCTAGCCTGCAGGCTGAAGGGTTAGGTCTTAAGCACTTCACTCCCAGCCTCTGCATCCCAGCACACGCCTGGATGCTTTTGCTCATCAGCTTTGGTAATGGCCTTGGCTGCAGTAAAGGGAAAAAGTAGATCTGACTTCACAGCCCACATCCAAGGGGAGCTTGTGGCATGTGGGGGAAGGAGATCCACCCATTCCAGAGGGGGCTTAGCTCAGGGCAGCTGCTTCCCACCCCGACTGGCAATCACATCTCTGTCCTGCTGACCAGTGCCTCACCATCTCCCCACTCAGCTGTGGGACACTCTGTTCTTGTACTCTCATAGTCCTGACAATCAACAGATCCAACACAACCCAGGAGGCAGCTGCACAAACTGAAAAGGGTATTATAGCAGCTCTCAGAAACCACAGGGCACCACCGCTATACACGCAGCACCCTGCCAGCAGTCAGGCTCACAGTCTGAAAACACCTGATCATTTTCAGATGATGCTAGGGCACAAACAACAGCGTGCATGTCCACAGCCTTTGTTTCATTATTCCATACGGCTGTTCAGAAATGCCACGTTTTCTGGCACTGACAACACAGCTTTGTGTCAGTGTTTGTGTGAGGACCTCAGTCTGGAAATGTCTTCCTAGGTTACATGGAACAGTTCGTCTGTCCTCCGATTGCTGAGTGACAGCTGATGCCGAGTCACAGGGTTCCCACATTTAATCAGACCACTGAAAACCAAGCAACAAAACAAAGCCTGACACTCAGGGCTGCACCACTTGACAGTCTGCAAACAAGTTGTTTTTGTTTCAAAATGAAACAAAAAACCAGAGACCAACTAAGCTATCATCATCCTACATTATCAGATGACCGACCCCAGTGGCAGGTTCCCCACTTTAATCTGCGTTCAGACCTTAAGGAAGTAACACATTTGCTGGGCATTTAGCATTCTCACGTGCTGTATGTACCCTTGAGGAAATCCCGAGTAGTCAAAGGAGCCCACTCCTCCGGTAGCGAAGAACCACATACCGGAAGTTGTACTGGTGCAGGTGAAATGGCGTTTCCCTCCAGTAGCTCACACGCTGCCCATCAGACGCCGGGCAGCACTTCACAGCCAGCAGCCCCTTTCCCTCTGACCCGGGTAATCGAAGGGCAGGAAGTTCCAAGGACCCACCAACCAGATGGAGGCAGTCGGCACAGCCTGGTGGTAGGGTGTTTCAGCCACTTGGCAGCCAAGCTAGGATTCTTGCTCCTTGCAGTAGCCTGTCCTCAAACTCTCTGACCCAGTGCTTAACTTGAGACCCTCCCTTGGCCCACGCCGATTAGTGCACTCCTCACACGCACCCTGTGCTTACTCACTAGACCAGTAAACCAGTACCCAGGAGGGAGGAGGACCATGCCTCGGCCACACTGGGGGCAGTTTAGATGCTGTGAAATTAAACCTGTTCTAAGTGTACTTGTTTGAATTCATTGTATTGTAATATCTGTTGAATGTAGTAATTAGGTATTTATGAATATATTGCTGTAATTTCTGACAACATCCCCCCCAAAAAAAATAAAATAAAATCTTTCTAAATCATACTAAGAGGGAAATCTTCATTTTATAGTTAACAGCTTTAGAGGGTGGAGACAGACTCAGCCCCTATCTCAGCCTGGGTTATGAGGAGAGAAGACAAGATCTGAGATAGGACATGAGCCCCGAGAGATGACTGAACAGTCACCTTCAATTACAGGATTACTAAGAGCCACTGGTTGCAGGGACCCATGGGTAGCAATTTGAAACAGCGCTCAAGCCGTCTGAAGCTGTTCTGGCCTTACACACAACAGGACAGAGACCGAGCGGCATGTGCGCGCACAGACACACCAAACAGAGGCCACACTCCACTTCCTCTCACAACCAAGTCCTACCGTTGAGAACCAGCTACAGAGCCTTCTTGCAGTACAAACGGACAGTCACTCCCCTTCAAGGTAACCCGATTTGCCTAAGGATCCTGGCAGTTTCAAATGCTGATTCTAACTGGAAAATTTTTCTTGTTTTTAAAAAAATACCTCATTTGAGCCATCACTGCCTATGACAGATCCTTGTCCAGAATCTACCAAGAGCAAAGGGGGGGGTCCACCTTTCCTTCCCACCATCCCATGTCAGTCACATGCTGTCCCACATTACATCACAGCCAGCAGCAGCAAGAGAACAGGACCTGTGGGTGTCATCTGTCTGGTTTATCACACCACCTTAACCGTGGGGAGAGGACAGAGATCCCAGAGAGTCTAGTTTGGGGTCATCCATTTTTATTACACATCAAGGCTTAGCCTGGCAAACACGCTCCCCATCACCAGCCACTTGTGCCAGCCTGCCTTCTGCATAGACTCCTAGAGCCTCAGCTCGGCCTGGCACGTCAGAGCCCTAAGCCACACTGCCACATCAGTGTGCCTGTATCTTTTAAAAGCCACACTTAGGCCTTGTCTGGCCCTTCTGTGCAAAAAAAGTTTCCCCCAAAGAAGAGAAGTTAGCTCCTACAGGTAGCCATTGATAGAACTGAAGGACAGATAGAAGACGGAAAGAACTGAAGGCTGTTCCAGGGAGCCAATGCTGGAGGACGAACCACAGAGCCGCAGCTTCGAATAGCGTCGCAAATCACTGCTTGCCCCTCATACAAGTTCATACATCCACAGCTATTTCTGGCCTCCCAGGACTATGAGTACCTCTGTCAGCAGCTTCCAGAAGCAGTCAGGGGCACCTGGCAAGCCACCAGCTGCTCCACCTCGTCTAACCGGAGGCCTGGTCTAGAAGTCCTGGGACTGGGTGCTGTCCAGGGGCTGGAGGCCAGTATGGAGCTTGTACATGCGGTCGAGCGCCTGGGTGAGGAAGGCCCCACTGGTGGTGATCTCCATCAAGGTCAGATTGTCCAGCTGCAACATGAGAACAGACCCCACTGTTACTGAGAAAAGTATGAAGTAAAATAAGGAGCCAACAAATTAAGCAGAATGTATAAGTACAACCACCCTAGGAGAGCTGGCCTGTTTCTTTTTCTTTTTACAGTGACTTGGGTCAGTTCCTCCCCCCTCCACATGCTCAGTGTTTCCTCTCCTCCTCTCCCCCACCCCTGATAACCAACAGTTTCCTTCCTTCCATATATAAACCTTCCTTGACTTTTTACCATAATTAACTAATATTGTATTTATCCTTCTGTGATTGACTTACTTCACTCGGCATAGTGTCCTCCAAGTTCATCCACATTATGCAGTGTTTTGCAGATTCTACATTATTTAGTGTTGCATAGTATTCCATTTGTGTATGTACCATAGTTTGGCTATCTCCATTTTCTGTTGAAAGGTTGTTTACATCTTCTTGCTATTGTTTATAGTGCTGGGATGAATATGGGTGTGCATGTATCTGTTCTTGTCCTAGCTCTCACTTTTTTAGGATATATACCTAGTAATGGGATTGCTGGGTCAAGTGGTATTTCTAATTCCAGCTTTTTAAGGAATCACCCTATTGCTTTCCACAGTGGTTGTATCATTTGACAGTCCCACCAGCAGTATATGAGGATCTCAATCTCTCCACATCCTTGAAGCTAGACTGTTTCTTAAAAAGTTAAATATCATCTTAAAAATAAGAAAAGGCAGAAACCTGCTTGTACAGCCAGGCAGGCAGCCCCCCAAGTGACTCCTCTCACAGCAGGCTTGGTGGGGCAGGGGCAGCAGGGCCACCTCCTACCTTGGCATGTGCTTCTTGCTGCCTCACGAAGCTGTCAGCAGAGACCCGGAGCTTGGCTGTGCGAGTGTCCCACATGTCCTTGATAAGGGTGCGGATCTCGTCTGCTTTAGGGATGTTGTCTGAAGCACTAAGGGAAGCAAAGAGGCAAAAAAGGATCACCAGACACTTGGTAAACCAGAGCAATAAAAATGCTGAAGACCTGTGTAGATTCAGGTGAAAGATACCAGCTGCTGTAGACCTGCTTGATTCTCAGCTTTAAAAATGCTAAGATTTCTAGCAGCTGAGCTTGGTGCTGGGGGTGCCGCTGTGCCCGGCATGGAGCGCTCTAGGTCCAGGCCCACCAGGTCACTGCAGGCTGCTGCATGAGGACTCCTATCCATCTGAGACTACATACCACAGAGCAGGTTCCACACTGGACACCTCAGGCTCAGGATATTGGGGCACACTGCACTCTGTAACTGACACCAAGGAGAACATGTGTCATAATGTGACTGGAACATAATAGCTTCCACAGCTCGTCATCTATGGGATATTGCTGGTAATTCAAGGGTGCTCAGCTCACCAATAAAGGACACAACACCTCCAGGCCAGGCACCATGCTCAGCCCTGCACCAGCTCTCCTCACAGGTGCCCTGAAAGGCAGGTGTCACCCACTTTACAGATCAGCCAATGAGCTCCAACCAAGCCCATGAGCCCAGCTGCCCACAGCAGAGCTCCAAGTACAAGTTAGCAAGGGGCAAACACTCAGCCTCCTCGGGGATTGTTGTCATCGAACCACTGAAGGAAATGAGCAAGATAGGGTGAGAGGCACTTACTGATTTAACAGAAGTTTGGTGAGCTCCATGTAGTAAGGGCTAGGCATTGGGGTAAATGTTTCCTCCTTCCGTTCGTGATCCCTCATCTCCTCCAACTTTTCTGAAATGGTGAGCACATTTCACCATCACTATGGCCAGAATACTGTTTACCACTCCCCCGGTTGCCAGGTGCACGCATTACCCATTCAATCCGCTAACACACATGGGAAACAAAACCTTTCTGGAATAACGCTGGAATCATTAGCTAGATGATCATGGTCTATTGCCTTGAACATTTTCTCAGAGAAGGTAATTGTTTTGGCCTGCAGAGTCCATTACTGAAAAGAGAAGTCAGACCCTGAAGTTCTCTTCCAGGGAAGGAGGAAAAGTAACCAGTGACTAGGGAATTGGCCTTGTTCGGGAGACAGCAAGACTTTGCCCAGCTCAGCCAGCCCAGTCTGGGCCAGTGTAATTGCTGCTTTACAGTGCAGTGTCAGGGATGGAACAGCCCAGTCCAGTTCACCCATCACTGCTGCCAGCTCGCACATACTCTCAGCTCCCTGGCTCCCCTCTCCCTCCCTCCATCTCACTGGCCAGAGAAAACTTCAACCCCCCTGGCTGCACACCTTCCTCCAAGGCTGGGTCTCGTCAATCACCACCCTCCAGGACCAATGGTGCTGTCCTGCCATCCTACTGTGCTCCCTGCTCCACTCACCTTTTTCCTACCAGTCATTTCATATCTCCTGAACCCACTGCCCACCTCTCACTGGTACCTTGCTCCCTATTTCGGGAGAAAAGAGCAGTCCCTGAGAATGCCCAGCTCCCATCGCTCTAGGACCAGCCTCTGAGTGCCCCGACCCCTCCTCTCACCCTCACAGGATGAATGGGTCCTTCCCCTACGCCATCATTCCACCCACCATGTGGCAGAAGCGGCCATCTTAGAAAACCCTCCTGACACAAATCCTTCCCAGACACAGTTCTTTCTCATGCCCTGTACATCCAAGCCAAAAGGGGTCAGACACATGGTGACTTCCTCTCTTTCCCCTCACTCCCAAACCACTCGGGTGGGCCTTTATCCCAACCCTCCCAAACAGCTCTCCCAGATCAGTGACCGCCACGCCACCCCATCCCATCCAGTAGCCAGACAGCTCCGTATCCCCACACTTACAGTGTGTGCAACACCTAGAACACATACCCTCTGACCTCTGCAGCTGCCCCCCAACCCCTGGAGGCTCTTCCTGGCCCTCGTGACCACTCAACTGCAGCACAGAACTCAATCCTGTGGAGACTCCCGTGCCCGGAGATCTCGTCCTGCCTCAGGCCCCTCAGTGCTACCTGTGCTCACTGTAAGGACTTCCAAATTTATGTCCCCAGCTGGGCCCACTGCCCTGAACAATCCTGACTCAGACGCTCCACTGCCTACACTACTCCCACCTGGATAGCTAATTGGTCCCTCAAGAGGAACATGTTGAAACCCCAACTCTGATTCCCACTCCAGCCCACCATCTGCTACTGTAATCTCGCCCGTTTCAGCAAACAGTGATTCCATTTCTTTCTGCAGCTCAAGCCAACAACCTTGGCAAGCATCTTTACCTCTCCTATCTCATACCCCACGGCCACTCCTTCAGCAGAGCCAGCTGATTCACTCTTCACAATCCACCTGGACTCCACCCAGGTCTGCCTGCCTCCACCAACTGGTCCTAGGCCCTCTCAGCTCCCGCCTAGACAACCCAGCCTCATTTCCTTGCCCCCAACCTGTGAGAGAAAGGAGAGAGAGAGAGACACACACACACACCCCTTGCCTACACTGCAGTGACCTTTTTTAGTTTTCAAAAATCTCAATCAGATTATAAAGCACTCCTGTTCAAATCCACCAATGAATCAAAAAGACTGACAACACCAAACGTTAGTCTGGACACAGGGCAACAGGGATTCACACATTTCTGGTGGAGCAGAACAATGGCACAGCCACTTTGGAAAACTGTGGGGCATTGTCTTACAAAGTTACGCTTGATCTACCCCATGACCAGACAGTTCCATTCTCGACATTTATTTACCCAAGAGAAGTGACGTATAGCCAAAAAAAAGACTTAGACAGGAATATCCATAGCAGCTTTACGCATAGTCACCTCAAACTGGAAACAATCCAAAACCCACCAACAGGCAAACGGGCAAACCACCTGGCACGCTCTCATACAGTGGGGAACAACTCAGCAACAAAAGCAAGGGCACTGATGAGGTGTGCAGCAACAAAATGACCCTCAAAAACAGAAGTCAGACGCAAGCAACCACATACTGAATGATTCCGTTCACTTAAAGCCCAACAACAGGTTACACTAAGCTATGGGGTCAGAAGTCAGAAAGCAGCCAGTTCTCAGGCAGGGTATACTGACTGCAGAGGCACAAGACAAGGTTGCGGTGATGAAACGTTCTGGAGGGAAAGCGGCGAGAGCCGGAACTCAGTGGGACTGCCGTGTTTCTCCACATCTCACTAGGTCTGCACCTTTGGAGGCTACAGTTTTGCTACTCTGCTGTGTTAGTGGGCACTATCTGAGTTCTACTTCACTGACAGGGTTCCAGCTTACACCGGCTCTGGCTTTCAGAGGTTTTACTGTGCAGTATTTTTCGTTTTCAGTGATGTGTACGCAGAATTATGATGGGTGCACACAACTGTCAAAACCGAACTTTGGTCTGCATTTTATTGTATTTAAATTATGCCTCAATTTTTAAAATCCAGAAACAGGGAAAACAAATTGCATGGCTTCCCAATTCATACTGAGGGCCACTATCCTTACGATGGTTGTTCCAAAAATAATCTACCACCAAAAGCCCCCACCCCTGACCTCTCTTCCTTCTCAGTTTCAAATGTCACCTTGCAAGACCACAAAAGAGCAACAGTGTACCTCCTCAGCCACCATCCCCCTCACCCTGGTTTATCTTCACTCCACAGCACTTATGTCCCCCGACACACCTACTTATTTCCTCACTGGCCGCCTCCCTCCACCGAAAGGCAGCTCCACACAGACAAGGGACTTTCTGTTCACTGCTATAGTCCCAGCACCTACAACAGTGCCTGGCATGTAATAGACACACAATACACTTGTTGCATGAAGATAAGTACACAGGGAAATTGAGGCAAAGGAAGAAAAAACAAGAATAGGAAAACTCCATGAAGTGTTTTCCCCCTTAAATCTCTGAGAAGCGGTTGCTGGGTCAACGCCGACTCATGGTGACCCATGTGAGTCAGAGCAGAGCTGTGCACCACAGCGTTCTCAGGGGCTGGTTTTTTGGAAGCAGACCACCAGGCCTTTCTTCCGAGGTGCCCGAGTAGACTCTAAGCACCAATCTCTTGGTTAGCAGCCAACGCTTCGCCATTTACATGGCCCGGGGACACGGAGCACATTACTGCTTCTTCACCTGAAGAACTCAGAGTGAACCGCATGTAGCAGCAGAAGGTGCTTTGATACGGCTGGACCACCAGGCCAGACCTCTGCCACATTTCTCCCATGCAAGCATCACAAGATACAGAGAAAGGCTTCTCCTACTTCCCTTCTGATCACATATGGCCAAACCCATGCACAAAGCTCTCCCTGCCTCTCGGACTCCAGCCTGCTGTGAGTCAGGCTCTTGCCCCCACCACTTCATCACCTTAGCTTGGATAGGCCCAAACTGTCTAAAGCTGATGGACATGACACCAGAACCAGGCTTGCTGGGGTACCTTTCACAGTGGGAAGAAGTGGGGTTTCCCCCCGACATCTCACCACCACTTGTTTGTCAGTATGTTGCACTGTGGTGGCTTGCATGTTGCTGTGAGGCTGGAGGCTATGCCACCAGTATTTCAAATATCAGCAGGGTCACTCATGGTGGACAGGTTTCAGCAGTTTCCAGACTAAGACAGACTTGGAAGAAGGAAGAGGCCATCTACTTCTTAAAGAACTGGCCAGTGAAAACCTTATGAATAGCAGAGAAATATGGTCTATTACTGGAAAACTTTATGAATAGCCCTGAAATATTGTCTCATATAGTGCCAGAAGATGAAGCCCTCAGGTCGGAAGGCACTCAAAATATGACTGGAGAACAGCTCCCTCTTCAAAGTAGAGTCAACCTTAATGACGTCGACAGAGTAAAGCTTTTGGGACCTCCATTTCCTGATGGGGCATGACCAAAATGGGAAGAAACAGCTATAAATATCCATTAATAAGAACGTGGAATGTACGAAAATTGCAAATTGTCAAAAATGAAATGGAACGCAACCTAGGCATTAGTAAACTAAAATGGACTGGTTTTGGCTATTTTGATTAAGACAACCATACGCTCTACTATGCCGGGAATGACAAATTGAAGAGGAATGGCATGGCATTCATCATCACAAAGAATGCTTCAAGATCTATCCTGAAGTTCTAAGCTGTCGGTGATAGGATAACATCTATATGTCTACAAGGAAAACCAGTTAATACTACTCCTATTCAAATTTATGCACCAACCACTAAAGCCAAAGATGAAGACATTGAAGATTTTTACCAACTTCTGCAGCCTGAGATTGACCAAATATGTAATTAGGACTGGTTAATTATTACTGGTGATTGGAATGCAAAAGCTGAGAACAAGGAACAATCACTAGTGGTTGGAAAATATGGCCTTGGTGATAGAAATGATGCTGAAGAACACAAGAGAATTTTGCAAGACTGATGACTTATTCATTGCAATACCTTTTTTCAACAACTTGAATAGTAGCTATACATGTGGACCTCACCAGATGGAATACACAGGAATCAGGTTGACTACATTTATGAAAAGAGGCAATGGAGAAGCTCAGTATCTTCAACTAAAACAAGGCCAGGAGATGATAGACCATCAACTGTTCATATGCAAGTTCAAGTTGAAGCTGAAGACAAAACAAGTCCACAAGAGCCAAAATATTCCCTTGATTATATCCCTCCTGAATTTAGAGACCATCTAAAGAATAGATTTGACACACTGAATACCAATGACTGAAAATCAGAGAAATTGTGGGATGACATCAGAACACCATCCTTGAAGAAAGTGAAAGGTCATTAAAAAGACAAGATAGGAAGTTTTGCCACTCTGCCCGGGTCGGAATGAGCCCTCCTAGAGGCAAAG